CACACTCTGTCTTACTGGTGGTATGCAGTCTACAGGAAAAGTAAATACATTGGTATGTATAATACGTCTGTTCACAATAAACTCTTCAAATTTTGCCCTGTCATGGAGGCCATGACATTAATTGAACTGAAGAGCTCAGATTAGAGCAGCAATAGTGGAAAGCTGAGAGGCGCCACTATATGAAATTAACTCTGGGCTAGAAATAAATGAACCAGTTCACGGAAGTTCAGGTACCTCTGAACATGGGAGCAGCTGCTCAGAAAAGAGTGGGTCTGGTTGATTTTTTTTTTCCCTCCCCTCCCCTGAACAAACTCTGGAACATTTTGGCTTTAGTTTAAGACTCCCCAGTCCTTCCTCACCCATGCAGTCACTCTCAGGTTCCTCAGCATCATTGACAACCATTTTAGGTGTTTTGCTCAGGAAGATGTAATAGGCAACGTCATGCCAGTGATGCTCAAGATGAACAGGAATGAATACACAAACACACCGGGCCACAGCATGGGAGCATTTGCACAGCAGTGTCCGCGTGTCTGTCCGAGACAGGAGATGCTCGCATTCCACATATGCTATCCTCAGTTTATCAACGGAAATCCACAAAGTCAGTGCTACACACCGGGCCACAGCATGGGAGCATTTGCACAGCAGTGTCTGCGTGTCTGTCCGAGACAGGAGATGCTTGCATTCCACATACGCTATCCTCAGTTTATCAACGGAAATCCACAAAGTCAGTGCCCATTCACAACGCATGGAGAAAAATGAGGATGGACACACACTGCTCTCGCTGCCATTGCGATAGAGAGGAGCTGCCAGCGCACAGGAGAGCGCTGTTTTGACGTAGAAACGTGCAAACGATGCCTGCTCTGTTTGGGGACAACAGGCAGCAATTGCACTTCACTACTGAAAACTGAACCAACTGCCAAGTAAGTTCTACTTTGTGCTAAAAATAAAGGAGAAAGAGAAAAAAATCATCCTGAATATGTCTGCACCGGTACTGAGCCCTCAAAGCACCTGCTGACTCAAAAGTCTACAAACTTATTACCCTACTGAAAATTAGACCCTTATAAGCTTTTAGACCTTAACGTTGTCTGGCTAGGCCAGGGTGACACACCTTTCCTTTGCCACTTCTCAGCAAATCTCAGCTAAACTCCTTGGGGAAAGTGGTCTCCTCCCATGAGCTGCTCTTTCTTCCCAGCAGCTCTGCGTCACTGATGCACTTGGTCTTTGCCACAGAGATGCTGCATGCCTCCTGCTCAGTACTGTATACTACTGGGCCGCTCTGCAACACTCATCTTGATCTCAAAGCTGTATGAGTAGACCGAAGGCCCCCCAAAAAAGGAGTAAACTTGACCACAACCATTCTCATAGACTGTGAGATTTTTCCCATGAGATTGGAAATGGGGAGACTGGAAGACCAACGCTCCCTGTGCTGCCAAGTCCCGAAAGACCCTACCCCAATTCCTGCAAGAAAGCATCTTCCCAGAAGAGCCGCTCCCGGGAAGCACTGGGCAGTTTGGTTTCCTTCTCAGGGCTGCTTCAAGAGGGAAATGCATGAAAGCAAACGCCCTTCCAGTAAGGTCTGCTCGTCCAGCCTGCGAGAAGCACAACCTCCTCATACCAAACAACCGAGACACTGCTTCCCTGTCACCGTGTTTGGTAAAGCCATGAATTAAAACAAGTTGATAAGAAAAAGGAGCAATTACATGTAACTCTCAATGTAAGTTAAGTATGGGTTGGAGGTTCAAATGTTTGTCCCGTAGTCTGACACTCCCCTCTTGCAGCAGAAACACAAGCAGACAACCGAGCAGAAGCACTCACTATCTGTTCAACTTCAGACTTGACGAGAAGCATCTTCTCAAATAGCATGAAATTCCACCAAAGACACAAGAGAGCAGAATGAACTCGTTACATGGATGAATGCTGCTGTGCACCAAATTCTGCTCATCTGAATCTGATGCAAAGATGTATTAGCAGGAAAAAGCTGTTGAATGAGTAAAACGTGCACATAACAGATGGTGGACTGGAATGATTAAGAGAGTTTTCGTAAGTAAAGCAGTTTTAGATTGAAAAGCTTGTCCCATTCAGCACGAAAGCCCTCCCAGGACACGGCTGGGGAGCTCAACTTGTGAAATTTCTTCCTTCCCATATATCCTAAATAAAAAGCTGCAGCACAGCGAGTCTCTCTTCCTCCTGATGGGTGGGATATAAGGTCACATTTCAGGTGATTTTCCTCCCATGTTAAGGCAGTTTCTTCTTTTAGACTCACACTAAAACCCCAGCACTTTAGCCCAGCTCTCCTAAGTGCTCTGCATTTTTTTTTCCAAGGTCAAATTCTTGCAGATCACCCAAGAACTGTGTGCAGTGTTTCCACACGATGCTCAGCGCCGCTTCCGAGAACCACCTGCTCTTAGGAAGCCACTCGGGTAATTTATAGGCCGTCCAGTTTTACATGCACATCTTCAGTTCATTAGACATTCTTTTAAAGTTTAGTAAATCATGGAGGGGTTTTTTTTTCAAGGCTATTTTTCTGTAAAAACATACACATTTTGCTTTTGGTTTTGACTCTGGCATGTAAGTAGGACAGGCCATAAATTTGGGCTTAGTCACCAAATTTCCCAATGTTTGGAGGTACATGAATCCCATGCTGGCGGCTCAGCGTTCATCGGTTCTTAGGAGATAGGCAATAATCGTGTGTTTTCAATAGAAATGGCAACTCCAGTCTCCAGTACCTGAGCAAGCCATGAACAGCAGCATCACTGGGAAATACAATAGAAAATCAAACTGGAAAACCCAACTGTACTTTTGCACTTAGGAGAAAACTCTCGGTAGCTAAGCGAGATCTGCATCTAAGCTAGCTTTGCACAGTGCTGCGGAGTCTCAGACTCATCCTTTAATCCCCTTCAATTAATTTAGTCTCAGCCTGACGTGGTGAGCTCCGGCGGAGCCTGGCGCAGAACCCACGACCAGGACTCCTCAGAGCAGCTACGAGCAGGAGGGTACGGCTGCTGCAGCTGGCCACCTCCCCTCCGCCGCTGCAGGCGATGGTTAGCCAGTGTTAGGGGATCAAAACCAATTTAAAAAGAGAGATACTGAAAATATATTATTTTTGTATCCTTTTGAAGAAAGGTATTTGAGATGGAAAAAAAAAAATACTCATAGCATTGATGCAAACATCTGGGGCAATTTTTTATTCACATTTCCTATTTTCCAATCGGTAAAATTCTGGAAATTTCCTCATCCACTGTATAAAATTTTTTTTGAAGTTAAATTGCTATGAAGACATCAAACCCTTATTTATTTATTGAGACCACATTCACAATTTCCCTGAAAATGTGGGGAGTTTTGCTTGGACGGCATTGCTTTTTCTGAGCTCATTAACATGTTTTTTAATTTTTCCACCTAAAAATGGAACTGTAAATATTTTTTTTTTAAACAAAGCATTTGAATTAAAAAAAAAAGAAACTCAATTCAGGTATTCAGTGAATTACTCATATAGACATACCTGCTGAATGTTGCCTGATTAGGGGGTTGATTGACAACCTATTGAATGCTATAGGAAAGCTCCCATTAACTGTAGTAGTAGCCCACGCTGGGACTAAATGTGCCCAAATACTTCAAGTACAGCAGCAGTTTATTTAATTTGATTTTCTAATAGCTTTTATTAACACACATATCCAAGGAATGAAATAGAAGTAGTAGGTGCTGCTGATAATATGAACAGATGGTACTATATATAAAAAATTAAGAGATTTAAAAGAAAATTTATTTTCCAAACGATAAAAAAATATTTAAAAGCCCAGCACTTGGAGAAAGACATATAAATTAATACTGTTGCACATTTCCTGACTGGCTAGGTTGAACAAAGAAATTTATACGCTTTAGACTCCTACATGTAAGCAAATGAGTTCACGGAACATTCTCCCTTTGCGCACACTAACTTTGAATTTGTGAGGGTTTTATTCCCAGTGGACTTTACCCCAGCTCTAAATCACTGTTAACACAACCGGGACTGAAGACTGGATGCTTAAGGCAGAAAGTGGTACCTGTCGCCAAGGAGGGGGAGCCTGTCCCTTCCTTCTCCTGCCTCTTAAAAACAGACCCTAGGATGCAGTCCTGGATGAAAACGTGGGGTATTTTACCAGGAATATGGCGGGTTAAGCGAGCAATATCTCTTTTTAATAAACATATCTCCTTCCCAGGGAAAAATCTGACTGTTCTTTGGCGGGGGGGAATATTCCCCGATGCCTGGAAGCAGCGATCAGGTGCAGCAGAGGAGAATGAGACGGGGGGGAACCCAGAGCAGGAGACCCCCAAGCTGTAGTTCCCACAGGGGTCTACCGCTGTTTCAACATTGAACATTTCATCATCAGAACTTTTATATTTTTCTTGTTGTTCAAGTCTTGGAGTGGAAATTTTTAGATTTTTTTTATTTTTCGGGAGGAGAAGCTAATTCCAACCCATGTGACCAGAACGGCAATTAGTGAAATGCAGTTCAGCAGCACACACTCACCTGCCCTTTCCCAGCTGTCTTTCAAAATCCTCCCCTTCCCTGCTCCCCTTCCTCTCCCTCCATCCTCAGAGGCCCTTCCCGAGCAGCCGCCTCAGGCAGCAGCGCTGCCCCAACACCTCGGGGAGCCGTCGCAGTTTGCACACGGGAGGGTTCGACCCCAGCAGCAGCAGCAGCAGCAGCAGCAGCATCGCAGCGAGGAGCAGATCAGAGGCAGGCAGATCAGAGGCAGTGGAAGGGGCTTCTTCACCGTGGCCAATATTACCTAACAGAAGCTTGGCTTGGCAGAGGGCTCTGCCACTCTCACTCCTGCTGAGAAATACCCTAACCCGGGAAACATATTTATTTCCTCTTGCAGGGAGGGCTCTCTTAGTATGACTGGAGGAGGCATAATATGGTCTTTAATTTATGAGAAGCATTTCCTTACTGCCTTATGTCAGAATCATAGCTCAGATAGTTCAGCTAGTTCAGTTTCCAAAGACAAATTTTGTTTTTCCAGTTAGGATATATTTTGTATACCTGCATGATAAGACATCAGAGAAAAATACTCAAGGGGCGAATAAAGGGAGCAAAAGTGCTGTGTCAATAATTTGCTGGCTGTTCCCACTTTGCTTTGACAGCAGAGTTTCTGCTTTGAGGCAGATATTCAGACAGCAGTTAATAGACAAGAAGTGGCAGGGATTTCAGCAGCAAATGGATGAACGGATCATGGGCAAGGAAAGGGCATTTCTCCACATTCAGATCTGTTTTTCATAAAAACTGCAGACATGTCTAAACCTTTCCAATATGCTACAAAGTTGTGCAGCTGTCTCCTTCCTCAACTCCTTCCAGATTCAAATGCAAATCAAATTTGATGGCCTCAGTATGTAATTTTGTGCTACAATATACCATGCTATGCACATTAAGGAAACTGGAAGCATCTTCTCGATCTATTTTCCTTTTAAATCAGTGGCAAGATTTGCATTCACTTTTATAGGACCGGATAAAATCCATAAAGGGGAATCTTCAAGGATTGTGAGATTATTGTAAAGAAACTTTGCAAGAAACAAAATTATAACTCAGGTTAGCAGAGTTATCAGTGAGTTTGGTTCTTGTCGCTCCATTTGTCCTGGAAACTGCACCTGCCAGGGTTAGGGAGGTTTGAGTTTGGCACAGGCTGAAGGGTCTGGTACTCAAGGATGCTGCTGATTTCTCACTCACAGCGGAGGGAAAGGAGGAGCAGTTACTCGCAGCTACCAAACGTTTTGTGAGGAGTTGCTGCCAACTGGCACAACTCAAAAAAGTGAGGAGGAATGGAAGATTTTAAAAAAAATATGTCTATATGTGAGACATCAAAAATCTTCAACTGAGAAGACTGAACAATACGAAGACCCTAAAACTCAGATATCGGTCAACATCTCCAAACCCCCCAGGCAGCCAACGAAGAGAAGATCAGCAGTACTTACTGTTTGGGTCCACGTTCTCGCACAGCTCCGTTTTGGCTTCGCCGTTGGGCCTGTCGCTGGGTTTGTGCGAGAGCCGCGATGACATGGTCGCTGCTGTGACCACAGCCTTGAAGCTGCGTTTCCGTTTCTGGACGTTTAGCTCAGGGTGGAAGATGATGATGTACACCTTCGGCATGTAAAGCATCCCCAGGGCCACTGAAGCACTTAAGTTCATGGATATTGTAAGTGTGGTAGTTTGTATGTAGAGCTAGGAGACACAACACATGAGACACTATTACAAATAAGATGACTGGGAAGCAGGCTGTAGCACTTCAAACATCGAGTAACCATTTAAAAGCATTTTTTAATGAGTTTGCAGCCAAAGATGCATGAGCTGAGACCTTTGCACTGCAAACCACCGTGAGGTCCGACAGACGTCAGCTACCTGTGGTATCAACAGCCTCTTTGGAGGCTCAAGGCTAGAAACTTTCAGTGGCCTTAGCAATACAATTTCTGCTGTATGCTTCTCATATAGCTTCCATAAGTTTGTGTATTTAAAGAGTGAAGATCAGATTTGGATTGAAATAATGCTGGTATAAATTTAAATGTAGGTCTACTGTAAACTATAGAAAGGAACTATCATAATACAGGTTAGTAAAAAAATCTTGCTTTTTTAAAAAAAAAAGAGGAAGGTGGAATTTTTTTGGTTTTACTATAATTCTTTACAATTCATTGAAATAACTTTGCAGAGAATACACAATGATTTGTGTGCTCGTGACATTCCGCTACGCTTCTTATGAAAAAATAGTTTATATGCAAGTCAGACAACAGGTACTGCCATGAGATGAGTATTCAAAGAAACGACAAGGATTTAAAAACATACTCTGCAAATATACAGGGGTGGAAAAGCCTTTTTTTCTCCTTTTTCCTTTTAATTATCTTTTCAGAGGATACACTTAATAGATGAACTAGAACAATTCTTGCGACGTAGGAAGATCAGGCACAGTTAAAAGTTAAAAAGCACAGAGACAGCACAGTACGGGTGTGAGGGAGCTGAAGAGGGAGTAAAGTCTCTGCGGATCCTCTTCAAAAATTAAATATACAGTAAATCCACATAAATGGGAAAATCATTACACATTGAGGGTGATTTCTTCGGAACACTATTTCCTCTTCTCCTCCTATTCAGTGCTAATCAGTCTGAATTTCTGATGGAAAAACTCGGCGAATAAAGGTAACGGCAGAGTAAAATGCTGACTCTGCCCAGGTATTTCCAAATTCCCATATTTAGAAAAATATGAATGTCTCCAGACTTGCTAGTTATATCTGCATAACAGTTGCTATTATAGTGATTAAGACCACCACTGGAAGCAATAAAATGCCTTACAGAAAACATAAAACCCGTGCTGTGCACGGATGTGTCTCCATACAGACGCACACAAGCAGAAACTAAAGTGCTTTCTTGGTTTCTATTTGCTCGTTATCAGGAGAAATGCCACTGATGTTGTCGGAAATGTTGCCAACGTCCGGACGCTGGGACATAACCCACCTCATCCTGTGGAAAGCTACGCTGGGCCAAGCTGCACCATTTGAGGCTGGGAGGGAGCCTAAGGGGTCACCTCGTCTAAAACCCTGCCCCAGGAAAAAGCCATTTACACCAGAACTGCCCCTGACAGATCGCCCCGTCTACCCATGTCCTAACGCCGACCTCTGATGAAGGTTTCACAGCCTCCTGACCAAAGTCTTGCAGAGTGCTCAGGTCTCCAAAACGTTTGGCCCGCACCTGAACGAAGCTGCTAGTTGTCCTCTCCTGGTGGAACGAAGAGCGAGTGGCCACCACACCCCGTTACCTTCTTTTATATATTTCAATAGTCATTGTCTTTTGGAGAACCTTTAAAGAGCAGGGTGTTGCCCCGTGGGCTTTGACAGCTAATGGGGCAATTTCTCCCAATTTCAGCCACTGGGAAGACCTCAGGCCCTTCTGTCTCCCCCTAACCTGGGCACTGCCATCGACCCGCTGCTTCGCCGATGCTCCAAACCGATGTGGTGCTCTACTGAAGCCTCCTTGCTGGAGGATTATTTTCTGATTTTATCTTACAGCACTGCTGTGAAACACAATGTTTATTTTTCTCAGTCAGGTAGCGTTGCTGCCTGCTGCTCTTCACTGCAGAGTTACTACCTGGCTGGTTATACCTCATACCTTGCAGCTGAATGTTGTTACGCTACAGATATATACGCCGTACCTTTACTGCTATGTACATAAGCACTATGTCTATTTATCTTATAAGAACATTTAAAAGAGAAGACAGTTTGCAATGCATTTGCTTCCTTGGAGCTGATCCTCCTTTCAGTTATGTTCAGTGTAACTCAGTCGGGGGCAAGCGCGTTGCATTGATATAAATAACACAGACTTAAATATTTATTAATTAAATTCAATAGGTCTTTGAAAAGTGGAAATGAAATATATAAAATACAACGTTTAAGGGCTGAAGCATAAACAGGAAGATACCCTCCTTGTCTTCAAAGCATTTGTAACTTACCACCAGCTTTTATCCTTGCTCAGTAAGGTAATTATTATTTCTATGCTGTAAAGAGCTCCTGCAATTGCCATAGCAGCTGCAGGTACCACCACTGCTGAAGGCCAGGAAGATGCTGTGGACAGCATGCCTGGCAACTTACGTTACACCTGGGGGCTGCCTGGTTCCCTCTGTATTCAGACCACACCTCTCTGCTAATATTTGGGAAGAAAGCTTGCCTAAATAATGTCTGCAGACCTTCTGGTTCAGTCTGGAAAGGATACGGCTCTGCAACACGTGTTTAATACGAATTATCTCTGTTTCTATATACAAGATATGTAACTAAACCTGACAGGCACTGGATATCTACCAAGCAGTATTACTGAATGAGATCTACGTTTCTGCAAGGCTAGAAAAGATCTACGTCAGTGAAGAGCTCTGTCACAAAACCAGAAGATGTATCAGTACGTCAAAGCGGTGTTTTGTTCTGCAGTTGACTTGAACTCACAAAGTCTGTTCAAGCAGCTACGTGGTGAAAACATGCACGGTAATGTTTTGCAACTAACTCTTGATTCACTTTCATAGAGAACGTAAAAACCTTTATACAGAAAACAGGAATTTGGACCACAGGGCAAAAAATTAAAAAAAAAAAAAGGAAAAAAGAAAAGCTAATGGCACAGCATTGCCAGCATGACACACATAATCAGTTGTTTATGTTTCACAGGCAGAAATAGCATATTTATGTTTGATTACAGATTTTCTCCATCCAAATCCCACTTGTTTTTCACTATGGAAAACAACAGCTCCCCATAGGAATTTTGATGAACTTGTCAGTTAAGCAAAATATCTATGTCACCACACTCATAGACACATATGTCACAGACACACTGTGTGACAGCAACTGAAAATCCTCGAGAAGCAGAAGGGAAGACGCATTTTGAGTAAGAGCTGCTTTTAAAAGCACTTCGTAGCAAGAAGTTTTCAAATGGATCCTCTGTGGGAGAAATATTTGTTACCTACGCGTGGTTATATTCTGAATTTTGGAACAGGTGACTGGTTTGACATGCGATACTACCGTTTCTTTTCAGAAGAGAAGAGCAAGTGAGGATCGTCTGCACCAGGAGAAGGGGACCCTCTTTGCAAGCCCCGTTGGAACACAGCCTGTGCCGAGACCACCTCCTCCTGCGCAGGAGCCGGGTACCTGCATTTGGTGAGCCTGTGGCTTTGCAGGTGCCGTCAGCTACCGGCAAAAATCTACCAGCACAGTCCTTCGCCGTCCTCTGAGCCTCCACTGCCGACGCGGGTGTCTCGGGTGGGAGGGTGCAGGTTTCCTGAGATGCTGCGGGAGATTGCTCCCGAGGGCAGATTTCTGCACCAGTGCTCGAGCACCTCCACGGCCACGAGCTCCAGCCAGCAGCTTTCCCGCATGGATTTCCATGGGCTGCACCCGTGGGGGTCTGGCCTGACGTGGGGGTGACTTACCCTGGGGACGGTTTGACCCGATGCCTTCCCCTTAATCCAGGGCTGCTGCGATTGCAAAAGCCGCAACCAGCAGAGCGCCAGTAACGTTTTTATCTAGGTGCACGCAGGTATTAATTTTTATTTCCTCCTGCTGTTAAGAGGTTGAAGGTTAAATGATTATTCAATCAATGGGGTCTTTTGCAGCCCCACGCCAGCAAAGTTTCCTACCTTGCAAATGCCGATGGGAGATAAAAGGAAAGGGAGAAAAGAGCTTTTGTAGAACAAGGCGGGATGAGTGACACACAATGCTTCTCATGACAAATGGGAGCTTTATAAAGATAAGGGAAACTAATAGATATGCTTATTATGCAGAGACTTAGTTTTACGTATTTTATCTCTGCTTTGTGGTTTTACCAGTCAAACATAAAAATGCAGTTTACATGAAATTATTTTATTTCTTATTTCACTTCTTCTGATAAACTCTCTGAAAGCATTTTAGATGAATGCAGATAGGTGACTTAAAATACAAAGGATCAGATTTAACCGGCAGTGGGAGTTCAATAATTCATGCATGCCTTTTACAGCTGGCTGGTGAAACCTGGCAGTTTCCAAACCTGAGATCAAATTAAGAAATTAAGATGCAGATTTAGCGAGAGGTGCTGAAACTTGGCATGAATGAGAACTGGGATTGAGCCAGGTATTGCCAGTGGAAATCAAAGCTTTCTAAAAACAATGTTGTGTTGGTCTCTGCAAGCCCACTCCCATGGAGGGTTTGAAGCCACGGTTGCTACAACATAAGGACAAAGTCATTCTGGAGGCTCACCCTCACTCACATCTCTCTCCTTCTCTCTCTCAAGCAGACTCTGAATTTTGACAAATTTTAACTTAATGTTAAACTTAACACACTGCCGTTACAAATGCATCAGACTTTGAAGCAGTGCCTTGGAGAAAACTCAACCCTAAGGATATAATTCACATGCAAAGGCACCTAGATTTTATCATTTATTTTACATAAAGGATTTCTATTTGAATTTTAGATTTCTGTGTTTTCCAGATTCTTGCGTTATTCATGCAAATGATGAGAATTACCTTCTAAACCTTGAGAGAAAATTAGACTGGTCTTGAATACACACATCTAATAACCAGCAATTTTTATAGAACAAATTATATCAATGGACGATTTTGCATCAATTAGGATTATTCTCAGAAGTAAAGCACTGCAGGATCAGGCCTTTTGGTCTTTGCTAACCCAGTGGATAGATTTCCAGCTGCTGGACCATAATAACTGAAGTTA